ATGATGTCGCTTATTTTCTGACACTGTCATTGGCTTACAGCGACACTTTAACACATTGAGTTCTTATTGTAATAAGTGGAAACTAATTGTAAATTTATCTAAAACTAAAGTGATTGTATTCAAAGCTGGGGATAAACTTTCAACAAATGAGAAATGGACTTACGATGGGGAACAAATCGAAGTGGTGCCATATTATAAATATTTAGATGTTATTTTTTCAAACCGACTTTCTTGGTCTGAAGCAACAAAAATATTATCACAACAGGCAAAGAAGACATTTTTCAATATTACCAGTGTTACAAGTATGCTATTCTTTGATGTATTTTTTTAAAATGTTTGACACTATGGTGTTACCAATATTAACTTATGGTTTCGAGGTATGGGGCTTTGAAAATCATTTATGTTTGGAACGTGTACAATCTCTAGCCTGTCGTTATTTTTTGGGTATCTCCTGCAATGCTCCAAATGTTGCAGATTTTCTATTTATTTTCACACAGCATTAAAATGCATTAGGTATTGGACAAAATTATTAAAAATGCCAGAAACCCATTACCCAAAGAAATGCTACCTTATGTTATATAATATTGAAATATCCAATCTTAGTCATGTTAAACAAATATTATTTTTATGTAATTTAGATGATGTTTGGGAATCACAAACAATAACGTAAATGTGTTTTTACGCATTTTTAAGGAAAAAAATGAAACAAGTTCTATATACCGATTGGTTCAGCCAAGTATGTACTTTTTTTTAGAGAAACTGACATTTTATAGGGAATTTAAATTTTCTTTGGAACCTGAAAAGTATTTATTTTGTGTGAAAGTGCATTCTCATGTTCAATTGTTAGCTTGACTCCGTTGTTCATGCCACTATCTTCGTATTGAGACAGATAGAAAATAATAATGTTGATAGGAGTGAACGCATTTGCTTGCTTTGTAACAGTAACAACATTGAAAATTAATACCATTTTTTTACTTATTTGTTCCTTTTTTGTTAATTTAAGAATAAAATATATTCCTGCTAACTTTTGTAATCCCCCAACAGTCAGTAAATATTACAAATTAATGGGTACAAAAATACAGATCTTCTTCAAAGACTGGGAGCCTTTACTTTTCACGCAATGAAATTGCGAAAAGAGCTACAAGTATTGTCAATTGTTTAAAAATTGTAATTTTATTTTCAAATATAAATAATGTATGTCGATATTATGGGCCGATGGCCTTCTATTATAAATAAAGACCATATATATATATATATATATAATTAACTTTCTCTTTGTACGATTTTGGTAGACTTTTGATATGTTGTTTATATATGTCAATTGTTGCTTAATCTGCAAGGAAACTTTCTGTTGCAATTTTGTCCGGGTTGACCTAAAATCAAATTAGATTGACTGGCTACTAGCTTTCAAAAGACATCGGCTTCACAAGGTTGACAGACTTCTGATGTCAGCAATGACGTCATCATATATATGACGCCATCATGCATGTTGAAGTGATCTGTTACAGATGCACATTTATATATTACATTCATTGTTTTTAAAATATTGTTGCTATACAGTAATACATTTCAATGATAATTAGAGGTTATTAGAAATTATTGCATCTGTGGTAGGTAAAAATCAGTGCTAAAAACAATAAATTAGTCAACATGCTCTAAAAAAAATTGCCCAACGGTTTAGGTCTTGGGGTTTTTTTGGTCATTCTCAATGACCCTAGCCAACGTTTGAAACAAAATTCGCTAATGTACTATTTTATTCCTGGTCAACCCCTAAATCCACTAGACTACAAGAGCAGTGATTGAAATTCTATTAAGTTTATCACGGACGCCTTTTTACTGTCATGGTAGTTTTGATAAACTTAATTTCAACAGCTTCAGTTTGACGAAGAATTGATTTTTGTAACAACATCCGGCGCCATCCTGTGCACAGCTATACGCTAAATTGCGTTTCAGTTCGCATTACATGTAGAACACTGAAACGAGCTGCACTCGGAGCTGCACACTGCTTGAGTATAGGTTTATGTCAACACCATTCTCTTTCAACAAATACACTGTACATAATGTGTCAATATACTGTCAAACTAATAACACACAAAATACGTAACAAAATCAAACAAAACTATTCCGTCACACAGCATAGCCCCCTCCCCTTTCACATTAAGTGGGTAAGGGTGTGAAGCCCAACTCTCGTAAACCATACTCACTTCTAAACCATCTTTTTTTCTATTTATACGTGACTCGCTTCTAAACATAAGTGTTTTCAGCGAAAAACACCCAGCTCACAACTTTCGCAACCAGTGAGCGCATCCGGGCGACGCATTTTATTCAGCCTTTTCCAGTATATGGCTTTGAATATAAAGACATGTGAAAAAGTAAATAAATAAAATAAAAACATTGATAAATGACCACCCATTTCTAAACAAAAAAAACGTGAAATGACACCCCGGTCGGGTGGCACATACCCGTATTGCACATCTATGGAAGTAGCCCCCCCCCCCCTTCCCGGGCAAAGCCAACGACTCTCAGATTATTTAGGTTGACGAACTACGCAATCGCAGATCGAATGTCTCAAAGCGCGTAGCTGAGCGCGCTGGCCAACGCACGACAAGCTTGACTAAAAATCACGCGAATTCGCTACAAAATCCTAGTTTTTCTCTCTATTAAGATAGTCATATAGTGAACGTAAACCTGGCAAACCAATCAGTTCACGAATATTGCCGAGTATCGTGCTCCACTGACAAGTTATCGACATAAATCAGGTAAATTGAGAAGGAAGGTACCCGGGTAGAGGTTGACGTACAATTATGCCATGAGGTTAACATACAAAAATGTTAACCTCTAGTTAACACAATAAGCGGTTCAAAGCCTGCTGCCAAAGAAATGTACCACCATTAATGGTATAGCCGCAGTGCGGGAAGCAGGAGAATATGTGAACTGGCATGGTTTAAAACAGATGTATTCGTGTAAAAAGACGTGAATCAGTGAATATTTCATTGAAAAGAGGCACACGCAAAAGGTGTTGAATGCGATTTGTTACTAAAGCATGCACTATTTATCCCATGTTAGTACTATTACTGTTTTCCTAACAGCTAAACTAAAAAATAATTACCAGTCATCACCAACAAATGTTATATCATTTCTTAAACCTTGCATCTTTGCTACTCTCTATAAAGCTCACAATAATGCGGTTACCTAACACAAACAAGATTTGATCGGTACCTTACTACATCTATAAGAGCAAAGTTGGTTAACAAAATGCTGCTCATACACTAACCAAATTGGACTCGCAACTTATTCGACCTCAAGCTAATGATTGCTCACGATGGCAATTGTTGTTCTTCTCATGAGGCAGTCAGCTTATATATTAAAGGGCGGCAGTCGTGCCGCGTCCTGCTCGATATGGGACTCATAGCGACGTATACAACGCGTATGAAATACATTGTTTATTTACATGAAATTCAAACACACACTGCGCGACGACTATCGCAAGGTAACACTAGCTTTTGAAAGCAGACAGGTTCACTCCTAGATCGACGGCTCAGTGCCGCACATAACAATTCCCACTATGACTTACCTGTAACCAGTACCGGTGAACAATAATAGAAAACACTGTATAAATAGAATATATGTTGGTCTATAAATAACATCAATACAATCTCCCAGAGGACACTATATTAAGAATCATATGCCAATGCTGAAACACTTGCAGCGTGACCACAGAAGCTCCAATTCACACTACCTGAATTTTCACAATGATATTAAAATTCGAAATATTTGATGTCTGATATCGCAATACTATTGTTTATACAAACTGTGCAGTACCAGCTCAGTATGCAATGCAATAATTCCGGTGAAAATATCACAACAAGCAAACATGTCTTCATTGGTTGCAATGTTTTCTTACTAGTGGGTTTCCGGTTTGTGCTGGAAATTGTATTTAAACGACATACTCGAGTAAATGTGTGCTAATAGAAATAATACAAATATACGGGAATTACATTAATCTGGTTGAGAGACCACATATTACAAAATGGAGTTTACCTTTACAAAAAGTGCAGTCCACCATACGTATGAATAGTTGTATATG